ACTCTGATTTTAGAATTTGATATGTGCATTGCTTTAGCCTTGCATTTTTCATGCATTTGGGACTGGGGCGGAGTTGCTGCAAGGGGTTGTTGTTGTTGTTGCTATTGTTGTTGTTGCCACCGAATGGTATTAAGGTGGCTAACTAACAAACGTGCATCGAAATGCGAACTTGAATTCATATAGCACATTGGACGGCAATTGTCAGCCGATGCATCCAATCAGAGCTGAGCAATGAAGGTCGTCAGCAGCAACAGCGCTGCTCCTGCGTAAACGCAATTCAGACGGATATGAAGAACAGCAACAAAGGCCTGTAGCCGACTAGCAGATACCCTGTAAGCAATTAAATTTTCAACGTAACTCTAGAGATTAGCAATAGAAGGCCACGACTCCTTGAAGTATGCAAGAAAAGGGCAAACCTTCGATATATATCGTATGTTAGTTCATATTACAAGCATATCGATAGATTATAAAGAATAATATTCATCGATAATGAATAACGTGCCAAATGTCAATAAATGTATATCGACTCTAATATAAGTTAAATAACAGTAAGTCGTTATCGATTTTAAATTATCGATAACGACAGCATATATCGATTTCTACCAAATCCACAAACTATTTTCAATTATGAACTAACACTTAGGACTAGAAGCCAGAATTGTATGTGTATTATAAGTTCGTAGTAAAAATCAATATTTATCGATAATTAATATGTAGAGACTGAAATATAACAAAAAAAATAGTTGAATATTTTTACTTTGAGATCAACTCTAATGCAATTAATTAATGAATCTTGGCAATGAAATGAAATGGTGCATATTTATCGATTTTAAAAATTAATCGATTACCTTTTTGCCTACTTAGAAACTGCAAGACTCCATTCTGTTACATACGGACGGCTTGCTTCAATATCGTTTCAATATAGCAGAATTCGATGGGTATCGGCAGCAAAAATCCCTTTTTGACTTGGCTGCCAAATGCAATTGTGGATCGCTCATTAGCTGGGGACTGTGGGCGGGGGAGATTGTGCTGGATTGGATGCAATGCCCACGCACTGGGCTTACCTGTTGGACATGTGAACGAGGCGTATGCGCAATATGCACTTTCAACAGGTTAACCTTGGGCATGGGGCACACACACACACGCACACACACATATACACACACGCACGCACGCACAGCTGCCAAGGCCAGCAACAGTTGAGCAGCCCTCTCGCTCGCACAGCTGGCCAGAGGCCCCCGTCCTGCTGCTCCCACTCCCATTCAGCGCATGCTCCAGACAGCGAGGCGACAGCAGAAAGCGGAGCGCCAGCTGCTCGACGCCCATTGGCCGCTGACAGTCAGCGATGGCTGACGACAGTCGCGGTCGTTGTTGTCGCTGCCTTCGCCGTCGCCGCCGCCGCCGCCACCGCTGCTGCTGCTGCTGCTCGGCTTTGCCTACGCCCCCGTATGCTGGCGCTGCTTAGCCTCGTGAAGGGGCAACACTTCGTTTGGCTTTACTAATTAATTAGATATGTTTGTTGTTATTTTTGTTTGTTTCATTGTTTTTCTGGCATTTGTTTCTATTGTTGTTGCTGCTGCTGTTGTTGTTGCTGCTGTTGCTGTTTTTGGTTTTGGTTTTAGCAGCAGCTTAAGCGAGTCGCGCATTAAACGCTCAGCGCGCAATCCGTGCTTGATGCAGCACACCGGGGATTTCCACCTACCTTACAGCTAGATATTTAAATTGGCATTAACATTGATCGGGCCGAGCTATCTATAAATATATACATATACATACATATATATATTTATTGTCAGTAATACAGACATGAAGCTATCTGCTTGCTTGAGCAATTTGCAATTGTTTTGCTCATTTTGTGGCTTAGACTGGAGCTCAAATGTTTGCTTAAGTCAGTTTGATTAGTTACGAAAATAAACGGAAAAGGTCTTCGTTAGAAGAGGGAAAACTCTTTAGCAACAAATTATGCAAATGTTGCACGTAAAAATATTAAAAAATGACTTGTTTCTGAAATCGTTTATAATAAGTGTTTTATCGTCGAGTAAGCAGGAGTAATACGACTTCCCATAGCTATATGACAACAGCTGTTTGAGTTATCGATAAAAATTGCCAGGTGAAATATTTAAGTTGATTTGGCATTTAATTACTAACTATATTTTGCTCATAAAATTTGAGCAATTAATTTCGAAACTGGGCTGAAATTTATGTGGGGGAGTTTTGTTGATTGAATCGACTCACAATGAGCTAGGAAATTTAACGTATCTATACTATACTATGAATACTATGAGAAAACTATACCATACTCCATAATCCGCTATCTGTATTACCTCTGAAAAGCTCTACCTGAAGTCCTGAATCAATGATCAGCCTCGACTTGAAAATTCGAGAAGGCCATTTCAAAAGTACAGTAGAATCCGGTTATAACGACATTCAAGGGACCGTCGTTATTCCCGGAAGGCTCTATAACCGTATAAGTTTGCTTATAAAAGTTTGTCTGGAGACGCTATAAGCGGAGTCGTTGTAAACGGGTTCTACTGTAATTCAAAATGGACTTTTTGCTCTATTTTGCTCTGATTTATATAATGGCATAGATGTAGCTTTAAAGTAAAATAAAAAATAGACTGTTAACTGTATTTTATGTTGCTCCCATTGCTTTACCTATTAGTCCAATTTGGTCAGCGCGGAAGTAGGACAAATTTAAGTTTATTTCACGACAAATTATGATTGATGTAGCCCAAACATGATATAACATCTGCTTTTTTTTTTTTTTTTGTTTGGATCTCATGCTTGCTATATATACTCACATTTAACATCATATATTCATGCATAATCAGGGCGGAATTGAATCCAAATGCGTTTCATAAGGTTAATTTGCATGTTGGCCGTGCATATGTTACCTGCGATAGCCAAACAATCTGTTCAAGGTGCTGTTTGCATAAGTTCATCATATGCAGCGGTGCCAATTAGCACGTCAGTTGGACGTGGACATGGACGTGGATGTGGATGAGGATGTGGATGTGGCCTTGGATGTGGAGATTGAGAAGTAGCAGCGCCATGGTGACACGGTGAGGCACACAAATTCGATTCCATTCAATCTGAATGCCCCGTGGAGCTCAGGTGTTGGCTATGTTTGTGTGCGAAAGATACACATATGTCAGCGAGAGGGAGAGAGGGAGAGAGAAAGCGAGATAGAAAGACGTTGATTGATAGACGCGCTAATACCACGCATCGAGTTTACACAGTAAGATACATATATATGAATACGAGCATATCTATAGTCAGATCTTATATTAAATTCATTTGAGTCAAATCTATATTATTTTGATAGTCTTCCTGAGAATCCATCTAGCACTTTCATTGTCTTCCGCTTGAAAAGTCCCCAAATTATGATAACACAAATACAAAGTCTACCTATCGATTTTTATCGATTTTATGGAATCGACTTGATTACTAAGAATATCTAAGAATATATACTGTTACTGTTACTGTTTGCTGTTTATGGTAAGAATTTATAAACTCCTTGGGATCGACCAGGCATTCCTAAAACATCTTCAGCAAATATACCCTGTAAGCAAGGCATAGCGGTCGCATTGTTATACATATCTGATTTTTAGGCCTTGATCATTTCGGATCGATCAGGCATTCCTCTGGCTACTTGAGCGAATATACCCCGTTCACATATTACGCCTAGCTTACAGGGTATGCAAAATGAAACCCCATTAAAAAACAACGTCTTCCTTTAAACTAGAGCTCTGCTTAAAGTTCGCGTTCCAGAATAGTCCCTCGGAAACAGAATCAATAAATTTAAAGCGCATATGCTCCGGATGCATGAATCAGCTATGAAACTGAACTGCTGTTCAGTACGGCCGCTTTGCCATATTTGCTGGGTATAAGTTGGGCAGTCCTTATCATATTGGCGACATTTAAGTGCGGTCGTGCGATGCTGCGAGATGAGCCAAAACTGCGTCCCGGAAACCATAAGCACCGAAGCAACAGAAGCAGCAGAAGTCCGACAGCTGGCGGCTGGCGGCTCGAGGCCGTGGCTCGATTGTGGATGCGCGACGCTGTTTGACCTGTTGCCATGGTTGGAACACATAAAATTTAACATAATGCCCGTTCATGCCGGTGCCAAGGGGCAGGTGGGAGCAGTGCCAAAAGTCATAAATTACGTTAAGTCGCGTGCGGGCAGGAGGCGGGCAGAGGGGGATTGGCGGGCAGAAGTCGAGAGCAGGGCTAGCGCAGGGCACGAGGGGCAGGGGGTGTGGCTCATGTGTGCACCATTATCGCGTGTCGCCTTGCCAACTCGAAACTTTAAATGGGGGACAGGTACACAATGAGAGAGACAGGCAGCCAGCCAGACTGAGGGAGAGAGAGAGAGAGGGAAAGGGCGAGAGAGAGGCAGCGGGAACGGGGAGCAGTGTGTGAGGGGGAAAGGGTGGTAGTTGGTAGATAGTGCATTTGCCGTGGCACCTGCTGCGGCTATTTAAGCCAATTTTCAGCTTGTTGCTCACTCAATTTGCGACCGAGCCCACCTCCTGCCCCACCTGGGCCACCTGCCTCGCCTGAACCGTTGCGCGCGTGCCACGCCTACCGCATGCGTTGCCTAATTGAAGCAACTGTTGCGGGATTTTAAGCGCAGTCAAAACTGCACCAATGCACCTGCAAGAAGCTTAAACAGCAGCTAAAGTTGTTCCCCAAATAATTACAGGGTATTTGATATTATATACCCAATAGATATATTAAATATTAGCGTACATAACTACACGAAATAGATTAAAATGTGCATCCAAGCACTGAATAAACAATACGAATTGATGCTCTGTATTGGAATATCTATATTATCGATTATGATTATTGATAATTTTCGATAACAGCGAACTGTTTGGATACCGACTATATTATCGATTATGATTATTGATAATTTTCGATAACAGCGAACTGTTTGGGTACCGACTACAAAATTATCTTACAATCAACGTGAGTGATTAGTGGACTAAATTCGAAATTTATTGTTTACGATTGGGTCTGATATTTATCGATTTTCGGTAAATGCTCATAATCAAATATTGGAAGTTGATTTTGAAAGTTTCGCGGATTCGATAAAACGCCGCTAACTGCAAATTTGATTGTAAAATTTCGATGCGATTGTTGTGTGTGTGTGTAGCTGTGTAGCAGCTGTTACTCTCTCCAATGCGTGGGCGTGGCACTGATGGCAGCACGCAGAGCCCCACGATAATCCGTGCCTTGGTAACGCACATGCTCCAGCACCCGCCCCTGCCTATCGATGACATAGAGAGAACGTCCGCTGCCCTCGATGCCAGCATCCTCCTCCATGGCGGCGGCAGCAGTCACCGCGGCCATAGTCGATGTCGTCGACTTCTCACTGGGCGTTGGCAAACGCGGTAGCATCAGCTGAACCGGATCCCTATAGCCGCCGACTACAGTCAGCTCCGGAAAACGGCAAATGGATGGTACGTAGATATTGATTTGAGCCCGGGTTCCGGCCATCATTGCCCTAAATCTATCTATTTCGTTTGCTCACTATCGTTTTGCCAGCGAGTTGTGGGTTTTTGTTTTTTAATTAATTAATTTTTTATTTTTTGTTTTTTTTTTATTTTTTGTTTTTGGCTGTAGCTGTGGCTATTTTCAATTTTCTCAATTATTGAATTCGGATAAAACAGGAATTTAAAACAGGCATCAGCAATAAATAAAAACTGAATTGGCAGGGCAACGAAAGGTAAAACAAAGCTGACTTTGTTTCGAAATTAAAGTCCAAAGTTCCTAGACTAAATCTCGTTGCTCTTTGATAGGTGGATAGTACAAAATTTGAGCATACAGCATACAGCATACAACATACAGCATACAGCATACAGCATACAGCATACAACATACAGCATACAGCATACAGCATACAGCATACAGCATACAGCATACAGCATACAGCATACAGCATACAGCATACAGCATACAGCATACAGCATACAGCATACAGCATACAGCATACAGCATACAACATACAGCATACAGCATACAGCATACAGCATACAGCATACAGCATACGGCATACAGCATACAGCATACAGCATACAGCGTACAGCATACAGCATACAGCATACAGCATACAGCATACAGCATACAGCATACAGCATACAGCATACAGCATACAGCATACAGCATACAGCATACAGCATACAGCATACAGCATACAGCATACAGCATACAGCATACAGCATACAGCATACAGCATACAGCATACAGCATACAGCATACAACATACAGCATACAGCATACAGCATACAGCATACAGCATACAGCATACAGCATACAGCCTACAGCATACAGCATACAACATACAGCATACAGCATACAGCATACAACATGCAGCATACAGCATACAGCTCTGAAATATTAAAGCCAACACCTCCCCTACGCCACTGCTCTGTGAATAACTAACGAATATGAAGCAGTTGACAGAAATAAAATTAAAATACTATTTATAGACTTCGATACTGTGTGTGTGTTTGTGTGTAAGTGTGTGTGTTTGCATTTGCACTTGCTTAGAGCAAATATTTTCTATTTGGCGCCAGTTGACAATATGAGCAAACATTTTCTTTAATTGCTTCTGTTGCACTTAATCGAATTCGCTTCAATTTTCAATTATAAATTTTAACATAGCACTGAGTGCGTGATAATCAATCAAAGCGCCTTAAGGAGTTGCCTGTTAAAATGCAATTTTACTTAGTCACTAACGAACAAAATCGAAGAAGAATTAAATGAAAATATGGCTTCAGCTTTGAAATTATTCAAGATAAATATCCACATTGCATTGATTTCATTTAAATAAAAAAAAAAAAAAAAAGGTGCGATAATTTGAAATACACTTGCTGTTAAAGCTAACAAGATTAAGAGAGAGAGAAGAACAGACAGAGTGATAATTGACTCGGCTTTTGGAATATTAAGATTTTAAGAAAATAATGTAAAAATTTATGAAAGCCTTTACGCTTTCAACATTCTATATATATATATTCAACAAAACTGATATACCCCTCTTACCGACTTAGATTCAGTTATTAAAACCAAATCATATTTGTCGTTCAATTTACGCAATTTCTATTTGATACTCATTCAAATAGTATTAATGGAAATCAATTTATTATATTTGAAAGGGCTTATGGACTGCAGTTGACAAAATTGATTGACAGCTCGAACGGAACGATGCATAGTTGCTTGGGAGTCATGGACAGTGCAGAGCAGCATTACAATCTATTAAGTGTGGATAACAGCGACACTGTAACATGTTTAGGTTAACAGCAGAGTAGCCTGATGATATTCTGATTATCAGGAGTAATCCTGATAATCCTAAGTTGATTATTAACACTAACCCTAACATTTTTATGCTAATAACAGAGGCATTTAACAGCTGCTCAATAACACTAACTTAACGTTTCTCTGTTAATAAAAGAATCAACTTAAAAGCAGCTTTTTAACAGTGTAAGTACTAAGCATTTTTCAGTTAATAGCAGGGCCACTAACAGTACCTCATTTACCCATTTATAAGATAATAATAATAATAAGATGAACAGCTGCTCAAGAACAGTTAATTACTTTAACGGCTGCCTCTTAGCATTCAGAGTGATGCAGATCTTAGAATTTTCCAAAGCTTTAACACTCAATGCGCAACAGCATCACTTTAACATTTCACTGATTCATAGCTCTCGTCAAAGTGTTGCTAAGCATGATGAAAGCAAGGAGAAATCGCAAATAGCAGAAACTTGGGGAAATTGTTTCACGGGAATCGGGAAATTGCAAAAAGATTTCATTTCATTGATATTCAGGTAAAAATAGCAAATGCCAACTGAATGCAGCTGTGATATCCGTGAACAGATTTGCCACTGAAATTAATTGAGAATTATATAACATAGCAGAAATCTGTTTTTTCTTTTCCCATTCCCAGCTTCCAGTTGCATTCGCACAGAGAGTTTTCTCATTAGGCGTTTCATATTTTTATTGCACGTAATCAAACAAACAAATACAAGTATACATAGAACTATTCTCTCCCTCTCACACAGACACTAAGCTTAAGCTCTCAAAACATTTAGTTTGTGCATGTAGCATTTCAAGGTCGGCTCAACTCACAAGAACGTTGATGCGAAGCCGTCACTGACGAAGGCCAGTAGATGTCGGCAGAGCGAGGGACGTAACGAAAATAACTTGAAAAGTATTTTTCAAATAGCACTTGCAGTGGTTATTCAAGGATACCCTAACATGGCAAGCCTAAATAGACTTTGTAGCTCTCTAGCTCTCTGGGCTGTCTTGATAGAATAGAAAGGATAAATGGAAGAGGCTTACTCAAAAAAGTAAATCATCCGATACCTAACAGTTATCGAAATAAATTGACATTGATATATTTCTGTTATTGAGAACTGTTATCGAGAGGATATGCCATTGATATATTTGCTTATGTTGCTGCATGCTGTTTATATTCTGCCAGGACTCTGATAGATTTTTATATAATCGTATATCATATATCATCTATTTATGAAATTCTGAAGTTTGCTTATATACCAAAAGATGATTGTTGACATTAATCGATTACATAAAAATGTCAGACAGCTTTCGATCATTTAAGAGAAACGTGAATTATATATTTAATTTTTAAAGCAAACTCTATATAAACAACAACTGTGGCTATAGATGAGGCCTGTACGTATGTATGTCTCGATAGATCTTACATTTGTCTATCTACATACTTTATATGACCCATTGAATAACTTGTTTTTGAATAGAAATGGTATGGAAATAAATTGTCTCAGAAGGTTCTTTAAACTGAATAAATGTTTGACTGTGTTTAGCTTCTGTGCGCCTTGAGCTATGCAGCGAAATTGAACAAACTCTTTCGCTGGGAAGGGAGAACTTTTTGAACGTCTACTACAATTTCCATATCTGTGAAGAATGATGATTTTTATTTTTATTGATTGGAAAATTGTGGAAATTTGCAAATGATGCTTAAGATGGATGCAATAGCAATGGAACCGCCCTCTGAGCTGCGCTTTGAGAAATATGAGAAAAATCTTGTACTTCTTCTTCTTCTTTTTGTTGTTGTTGTGGTTTGCAAATTGAAATTGTTGCATACTTCATTTGGCGATGCAGCAAGGTGTCGCAGGAGCAGGAGGAGCAGCACAGGTAGAGACAGAGAGAGTGGCAGAGAGAGGCCAAGGCATAGTTTAGGATCAGGCACTGCATCTGGAACAGGTGTACGCTTGGGGTAGGGGCACTCACTGCTTTGTGGTAAATGCTTAAAAATTTATTAATTCTGCTCGCTTCGACAAAAATTTGTTCGCCGCCTGCGGCGTCTGCCATATTCGAATTAAAATTTCCATAATTTGAAATTTATTTATTTAAATTTTTGCTCTGTTGCTTTTTTTGTTGCATTTTGTTGTTGTTGTCGTTGTTGTTGTTCGTTTGTTTCGGTTATTTGATTTGATTATTTGTTCGCGTGGACCTTATTAAAATTCATTCAGTTGAATTTGCAAGCAAATTTGTGGCCAATTTATGCATTACAATGTTTGGACATGTGTCGGCGACATTATTAACTTTATTCACATTAATTAAGAGCTCATATATCGTATAATAATTCACAATTTACAAATATTACCATCGAGAGCAGAGTGGACACATGTTATGCTCGCTCACAATGTGTCAAAGGGAGTCTATTGGGTTCGCCTGATGTCGATGGGTGATTGTTTGAGGTCTGCTAAGTTGTCTGGAGAGATTAGTTCCATATGCCCTCCGTCTTATGGCATGGCTTTTCCATTAGCAAGTAGACAAAGAGGCTGATGTCTGATATATTGGGTTTGACTGAAGTTGATCCGTGTCTGCTTTGATAGGAAGTTGACTGGAGAGCTTAATCGATGTTAGTCTCGTACAAGCTTTGCTTTATTAGTTATTGGCTTTACCATGCAGCTGATTTCTTATACAGCTAATATTTTCCTTCTCTGTAGCTAGACCTTCAGATATGTCGCTGTGAACGGGTATTGTGCAGTCAGTTACGCTCCAGCCCATTGCTCTCTATTTGTTTTTCTTTTTGGTTGTCTGCTTGCGTAGGCCAGGCAAATGTCAACATCAATATTCAATTGCAATGAGATCTGATGTTTGCATATCCCTTCACTTATACCCTGTAAATGCGTGCACCCCAGGGGTAATTAATATATTGTATATCTATTTTGTGTATACTCGCAAAGGAGTAAGAGAAAAAGTAGTTGAAAGTATATAAATGAGCAATGTGAAATATTGCTCATATTGTAAGGTATGTGGGCAACGTATATACCATATAGAATGCCTCTAATCTATACACAGTGTATATTATATAATCTATTTATACTGATATATTTTCTATTCTCCTATAAGAAAAGTCTCTCTGCTTAAAGAAATCTCGTAATGTGTGCTCTCTAGTAAAATTTCCTTCACATAAGGCATTTCACAGGGTATCTTTGCTGCTGTTTATTGCTTAAATTATTATTGTTTTGTGTCTCTTATTTTTCCTTTTTTTCCCCTTTTTTTTTGTCAACAATTAAGATGTGTTTGTGCGACTCAATCAAAAGCGCAGTTCCCTTACCTCTTGACTTATTTGTCTGCTGCACTTGGTATTACGCACTTTGAATACGCATCGAGTATTGCAACAATCCAAAATTATGACTGCAGTGTATG